CCCCTGCTCGCACGGCCCGCACCTGGCGGCGCACAAAAGACAAAGGGGATAAGACGAGGCCGTATGGGGATGCAGACGCCCGTGGCCATCTGCTCCAACCGTCCCTCCAACCCCTCCGCCGTCTTGGCCAACACCTCATGCATACTCCCCAACACCCTCTCCGCCGCCCTCGCCAAAGGCAACTCCAACGCACCAACCCCATCCTCACTCAACCAGCTTCTTCTAGTATCTAACCCCGGCTCTGTCGATGTAGAAGCGTCACAAACCGCCTCCCTCATCCTCACAACCATCAACGCGGCAAACATGTCCCCCGTCCCGGAGAAGTAGCAATCAATCGCCGGAAAGGAGATCTTGAACGCTCTGGGCTGTTTTGTACTCGTCATTGACGACCCGACAACGCTGAGGGTTTTTTTGTTGCCTGGGGTGTCGGGGTCTGTGTCGTCGGGAAGTGAGAGCGAGGTTATGACGATGTGTGGGACGCCGTAGCGGGAGTGGAGGACCTCAATCGCCTTGCCCAAGCTGAGCATATCCGTGATTTTCACCTCTGATAGCAGCCTGGTGTATTGTTAGCAGCCCCTTCATTCCTACCATCACAATCCATAACCACCTCGTGCCCCCCGCCCCCCTCCCCAAAAAAAAGAAACAAAAAGGGAAAACTCACTCAGCCTCAAACTGATTAGGCAAACACAAATCCGCCTTTCCCGCCAAGCCCCGGTACACAGGGACAACATCACCTCCGACATACAGATTCCCATTATCCCCCATTACCGGGTCCAGCACCCAAAAGAACCTTCCCTCCGCTCTGGACTTGAGTTCCTCCGCAATCCTCCCCACAGCCCCCAGCGCCTCCGCCCCAGGTACATACCCCGAGAGCATCATATCAAAGTCATCCAAAAACGACTGCTTAAGCCCCGACCACAGATCGAGGATATGCTCAGGTGTCGAGCGGGTGCCCGTCCACTGCCCGTAGCCGGTGTGGTTGGAAAAGTCGACCGTGTTCAGGGCCGCGACGTCGCAGCCGAGGGATTGCATGGTGAAGGTTGCTATTTTGTTGCCGACGTATCTTGCGTTCTTGGGTGTCAGCAGGGGGCCATGCGGTGGGTGAACAGGGAGAGATGGGTGTTGGTTGAGTAGTGAGTCGAAAACTCATATCTTACAACCAAACCCAAACGAAGTGGCGAAGATATATCATGATGGCAGCGGTAGTGAGAGTGAGGGCAGAGAGGTAAAGACTCACCCAGAAACGACCTTTCAAAACCATTAGCCTAACCACTCTCTCTAATATATACCACAAAAAGAAAAAAAAAGAAAAAAAGATCAACACCGTACATGGCTCGCAATAGCCAACACCCTCGTTTCTGGCACCGGTGGCTCTGCGCTCATCTTGAAAGGAGGTTGTTGGCGATATAATGCGCCTTTCGGATCTATACGTATGCGACAAGCCCTGGTAATGTTTGCGCGGGCACCTCAACGACAAGCACCGGAGCGGGCGACGGGGCAAAGAATCCGGGGCGGCAGCTGTATTCAAAAATCGAGCGGGTATACCGGCCGAAAATGCAAATAGTAGTTAGTGTGCAGGAATATAAATAAATAAAAAAGTGAAGATGTGACGTCCGTCATGTCATATAAAAAGTAATGTTCTAGAAAGAGCCGGTGACTCGACTTCTAAAACCATCCTAAAAATCCATAAGCGATATCGCCCTCCTTCCCCCCCCCCCCAAAACCCCAGCCACGAACGCCCGATCAAAAACGTCAGCCCTTCACCGAAACCCAAGATCCTGGCATCCTCCCAAGCTACTAATAAACCGGGCACATGGCGAAAAAAAGGGTTCTAGAAACAGACTGCGCGGACCCAAGCAAGGTGTCTAGCTAGACTCATGCACATGGTATTTACCCCGCCATCCATGAGACTGCCCCGCACCCATTCTCCAAAAGTGCTGAGACCGCCACAGCGATGCCCAAAAGATGGGACGAGAGGGATTCTAGACATCAAATACAAGTCTGACCAAAAAAAGAAAGAAAAACCGGTTATGCCAACAATGCAATATGGCACCAAGACAGACTTCATTAACCCCCATGCACCTGCCCCAAAATCGTTACCAAATGGTGGTTGACAACTATTAACATGTTGATACACACTCCCACAAAAAGTACATCTACCACACCAATCTTGCAGGTATCCATGCACAAGGTCAACTCCATCTGATTGTATACGTGACGGTCGTTATCGTTTTAGATTGCGCTTCCTCTCCATCGCGGCCATTACTCCTCGTCGCCGATCTGTATAACCGTTAGCTTGAACTCTTCCAAGACAGAAATGGGTGGTGAGACATTACCTTTGGCGCAAGGTAGAAGCGGAGATAGCTGCCACCCTCCAGACCATACTCCACCATCAAGGGCACCTCAGCCGACAAGCAAAGCTTGACCTGGTTCGACAACGGCTGCGCCTTGCAAAAGTTGGTGAGATATTTCAGAGAAAAGGTCAGAGCAACCGGCTCGCTCAACTCAATCTCGACCGTCTCGTTGGGCTTGTCAACAGGCGTGTGTTGTCTCAGAGTAATAGACCCGTTGCCGATATCACCAGTCGAAGAAAACTTGACACCGTCCTTGGTCGCCTCGATAGTAACAGACTCCGACATGGCCATGAGATCAGTCGTGATGCGCTTGAACTCGGCTGATGGCATGCTGATGGTGGCGGCATACTCGGTGTCGGGGATGCCCAAGTGCTCCTGGTCAATGTCCATGAGCTTAAGGTCGTACTCGGAGATTCTGTCCTGGGCGGTCGCCTCGAAAACCAAGTTCAGCACATCGGGGGCGTCCTCGGCCTTGAGGGTCAACGTGTCGTCACGGCCGGCCGCGCGCAGCACCTTGGTAAGGGAGGTGAGGTTGACGCCGAGGGCAATGTTGCGGTCGCAGCGGAAGGGAGAGAAGGCTTCAGCCTTGAGCATCATGGAAACGAGGGCGACGTGGCTGTTGTCCATGGCCTGGAGGGCAATGCCGCTGTCATTGCAGTCAAAGTTGCAATCCTGGACGAGGTCCTTGATGGCATCGACGGCCTGTTGAGACAAGTTGTCAATCACCAAGCAGCTCGAAGAATCAATGGCGCCAAAACTCACACTCTTGAAGAGATTCGCCGTGTCCAACCGAGCTTCAAGCATTGCTATTGGGGGATATCGTCAGCTTCTGGTGTCGGTCGAGGGGCTAGGCCGCAAGGTGCCGTGACGACAGCGGTCTGTCTGCAGGGAATTCTTACTGAATGTGGATGGGTGAAGTTAGTGGCAAAGGTAGTGATATAGGTCGAGGGTATCGAGAGCGACCAGAGCTGTGCTGCTGGAAGAAGTCGCGGCGGTCGTCGTGGAAAGATCTTGGGTCGAAATGTTGTTGAGTTCTGAGTGGGAGAAGGCAAAAGAAAGTGGAACGCGACAACGCGCTTTTGGTGGTTGCCCGAAAAGACGCGACCAGGGGTTTGATTGATTCCTTGTTTTGGCCTAGCGCCTTTGGTTGCCTATGCCAGCTGTCAAATGTTGAATCATGGCCCCCCCCCCCCTTATCTCATAGAGCCTCACACCGACATTTTGTTTTGGTTTTGGTTTTCCAATCGCTCAATGGCATATATTGAACTGCTCAATACCATGTCCCAATTATCTAATTACAAAAAACATGTGCTGAATAAACACATAAAGTCCACCAACATTCCCTCCAGCAATTTTCCCTGCTGCCATCCCATAACGCCTCCCTCGATAGTCCTGTTTCCCAAAAACATTTTGAATAGTGCGAACCATTCCAGCAGAAAATATAAAGATCAAAAAGAAGGGGGAAAAAATATAGGCGGGAAGCGTTTCTATACAAGCCTCCATCTAGTTAAAAAAACACTAGGCGATAATGCGTATGACTGACTGACCCCAAGCCTGAGCTGATCGATGCGAGGGTGAAAAGAGGAAAAAGGTGGAAAGATCGTTTGTGTTGTTTTTATCGTCATAAGAATCATAATGATACGCGCGCTGGGGCGGGCATGGTGGATCGTTTGGGCCGGAGGTTGATGACCATTTCAAGCTCCTTGAGCATGCCTCGACTGGCATCGGCGTCTTGCCTGATGGACTCTCGTCTCTCCCGTTCCTCCTTCATCCTGACGATGCGCTCTTCTCTGGTGAGCATGCTTCGAGGCCGTGTTGGTGGGAGAGAAACAGCCTCGAACACTTCGGCTTCGTCGTCACCCTTAGCGCTCCCGAAGCTCGAACTGCTCGGTGATTCGCCGGTAAGAGCCTTGAACGCTTCCAAGGCCCCACCTTCCTCGACAGTGGTGAGGCCGCTCAGAGATGTTGCCGGTGATAGCATGGTGCTGATGGAAGAGAGTCGCTTCTCGTTCCGGTCGATACCCGATGCCAGCGCTGCTTTGCCCTCCTCCCAAGCTTGTTGCAGGAGCTTGAGGTCCTGGCCAATGGACTCATACTGGGCCATGAGATTTAGACCCAGCTCAGACACGTCTTCGGCCTCGTTGAGTGTTCTCTCAGACTCCTCTCGTAACAACGCGAGCTTGGCTTGAAGTCCACGGATGCCCGTGGACAAAGAGTTGAGTTTTTGAAACTGAGATCGTCGCCTCTCTCGGTTTGGTGATAATGGGAATTTGGACTCTTGAACCGTGGGGAAAGCTATTCCGTGTCAGCGAATTGCAACCAGATTCAAGCCGCGCGAAAGGCTTACTCTCTTCCTCGTCGAGGATTTGCCGGACCTTGGACAAACCCTCGTCCGTCGCCTCGGTCAGGGCACGAAGGCTCTCGACAGCCGTTGACCACCGCAAAAAGTCCGTGTTGTCTCCGGTAGCCTCCAAAGCGAGCAACGAGCACAGGAAAATCTTCCTGATGGTATGAAACCTGGCAGCTGCAATTTTCAGTGTCTTGACAGACTCTGGATCGTCAAACTCGCGATCCGAGAAACCCTGCATAGCATCAGAGATATCAAAATCGCTGATATCATAGACATCGTGGAACTTTTCGATATCCAACTGCTCTGAAAATCCCTTGATCACTGATGACACTTTGATGTACGTCTTGATCATCTCAGCCAAACGGGCCTTTAGCGTCTTCCGTAGTCTGCTACATCGGCGAGTCTGGCTTCTGTCCTCTAACCGGCTGATAGGGGGCAACGGAGCGCTTCTGAACTTGAGTTAGTTTCGGGACATGGCAATGGGGCCGGTTCATCTTACAGCCTGTAGCCCCTTGAGACGAGCTCCACCTCCTGGATAAGGGACAGCGCCGCGCTCGAGACACCATCAAAGTCTTGCGACTTGGCCACGAATGCAGACACCTCGGCCAGTGCCTGATTCCTAAGATATCGTATCCACTGCTGGCGGATGTAGAAGTGCGCCACCAGACCGAACCCAACAAGCACCACCGTCGTGAATGCAATCTTCCCCTTTGTCAACTGGGCATATCCTCCCATGTACACCCATCGAATCACACACGCTACCACCAGGGCGCCCGTAGCCGTTATTAATATTCCCGTTGACGTTGGAACCACCACGTTCTGCGGAACATCCGACGCATCCCTATTTCGGTTGAAGTAGTTGTAGTTCCCCGTAATCGAGTGCCCAGCTAATAGTTGTGAGGCGACGATGGTGTATCTGAACTGCTCGATAAACTTGAGGTTGTCGGCCCGATCTATTCTCGATGCTACAGCCTTCTGCCAAACGAACAAATCGTTAGCGACGTCACCATGCAGCGCGCTGCGGCAACAGCAAAAGAAAAGAAAAAAAGAGGCAAAAGCGGCTTACCGAGTATGAAAGATGTAGCGACCCCAGCCTGCTCGTCCTGTTCCGCGGGACATCCAGCCGCAGCGGATCCGGAATCTTACTCCGGAAGCGCTTCTTGATGGTCGGACGTCCTACCGGAGCAAAGGACGGGCTCGATGGCGGCGACACATCGTGCTCTGAGACCTCGGGCGTGCTCCAGTCCAGCTGTTTGTCGCCTTGGTCTGTGATGAATAGGGGTATCAGTATTGCCCAGGATGCCATCTTGTTTGTTGTGGCCGGAAGAGTGAAAAGATGGACTGACCGTGCAGATATTCGTCGAGGGGAGAGTGGTCCTGAATAACGGTCTCCATCAAAGCAAAGTGTCGCGATGCCAGTTCCCCATCTGCCCGCCACTGCGCACCCCTAGAGACCCGACCGTTTTGTTTCGCAATCCCTCCCGATATTTGTTGTCGCACAAAGGGGCTCGCAGACGTCACACGATGCGGTCACACGTGAGTGGTTCCGGGTGGTTGTCGTGGGACAAGAAAGGGAGGCCGTCGGGTGGTGGTGGTTGGTGGTGTGGTATGTACTGTAAAGGAGTGGCGGCGACAAGTCGTTTAGCGCTAGGGGTGGCCGGTTGTGGTTGTGGTGGTGGTGGGCTTTACGAATAGCCGCTGTGCATGTTTCTATCGTGGTCGCGGCCAGTGGCTGGAAGATGTGTGTATATCGGGGACGGGTGACAAGACGGAGACCGGGCGACCTCTTGGGGTGAGTGGGTGATGCTTTTGAGAGTCAGGGAACAGGTGGACAGGAAGCTAGAGCTGCAATCGAAGGAGTCGATGGCCGAAAATAACAACAAATGCACTGGGAAGGTCGCTAAAGGCTCTCATTAAAAGTCGGGGGTTAGCTGCGAAGCTTCTGGTGGATTGAGCATCCCTGTCACGTAGCCTTCATTTAAGAAGCACAATGCGGAAATAATGTCCAGGGTCTGGCTTCCTTTACATCATCTCGGTGCACTCGGCCCGTCATAGGAGCATGTCTTGAATTCTGCAGTCGGTCTATCCTGTCCTCGGGAGCAGCCTATGGCAGCTTCAGATGCAGCTTCAAGATATTCAACTCGAAGCATCATCTTGAAATACCTGCTCACACCCAAGTAAGTTCAGTGAGATAATGCCACAGGGCAGTGCAGCAGGGGAATGGCATCTTTTATTCCCAGCGGACAATTGCCCAATCTCGGCCCTCAAAAAACGGTCATTACCGTACCTACCGTATCGATACGGGACCCGTGCTCCGGGGCCCCACACAAGCTGGCCCCTGGCCCATGTTCATTTCCAACTGGCGGACCCAAACAACCCGTTTGAGCGGGCGGGTCCTCCCAAGAGGCGCTGCATTGAGCCTCAGCGATCGCGATAATCATCACTTCCAGCATCACACATATCAAAAACAACCACCAGTCAAACCTCCGCCGATTGTCATTCGCCCCGCGCAGACTAACATACCCCATCTCACGGAAGTTTCCATTCCCTCTACTCCGTACCAACCACTTGGCTCTGTCCTGCGCCCCAGACCTGTCACCGCACCCAACCGCGGCCGCAACACCAAACCCTCCCCCCAAACCCATAAACCAACCACGATGCCCTCCCAGCAAGAACTCGACTTTCAAATCTCCCCACTAGTTCAAGAATCACTAGTCCACAACACCCGAGTACGTCCCCCCGAACCCAACCAAAAACCACGACCCACTAACTGACCTACCCCCCATAGACCCTCCACAACCTCCAATCCCTCACAGCCTCCCTCTTCGGCGTCGGCGCCGGCATTTTAGGTCTAGAGTCCTACTCCGGCTTCCTCTTCTACCTCGTCTTCTCCCTCATCACAACCCTCCTCTTCTACGCTCTGAGAATAGCTCCCACGGCGATATCCTCCCCCTCTTCTTCTTCTTCCTCCACCACCTCAAAAGGAGGCGTCCTGTCCCGGTATTTCAGGAGTCCGCTCGATTTCTGGACAGCGGGGCTCACGAACGGGCTGGCGGGGTTTATTCTGACTTGGACGCTGTTTTATGGGTTGGTGAGGGCATGAGGGTGGGAAGGGGCTTTGGGACTGACGGGATGATGTGTAGATATTGACGGGCGGGGGTATGGAAAAGAAAATACATCAAAGACTCTTGGGTTTTTTCGACCATGATGATGGGATTGACAAGGAGGGTGATATCACGCTTCTTTTCATGGACCTATCTATTGGTCAGCCAAACACAAATAACAATCATCAACTAGATAAATGCCCGAATTCATACACACCTAACTATCTAACCTATACTATTCGTTTCGGTATTTAAATCTCTAGGCGACAGACACACCAGCATGTCTACCTACCTTGTCTTTTCGTGCTATTATTCAACAACAACAACAACAACACCCCAAAACAACATCAAAAGCCTTCCTTTAAACACGCCAGAAACCTAAATAAAACAAAAAAAAAGCCCCAGAAGCAAGCAAAAGCAGATACAAAAAAAAACACCATAATTCCAGACACCATCAACCATCGAAAAGAAAAGGCTAAAGAAAAAAAAAGAAAAAAACTAAAAACAAAAAGAGGTATCATATTCACAAAGAGTTACAAAACTCAAAGTCCTCCCCCCTCAAGATAATTCCTCCCAATCCTTTACCCCCTCCCTCCATCCCAATATCCTAACCCTTTCAATCCCTTCATCATCTTCATCACTCATACACCATTTTCTCCCACCCCCTTTACTGCGTCCTATAAAACTTCTTATAAACCAAATGCAACAGCAAGTTCACATTCAGCTTCAAGCAACCCCCTTCAAACAGCTGCATAAACTGATGCGCCTCAAACTGCGCCTGCAGCAAGTCCTCAATCGGCACCAGCGCGCTCGCGCCAGGAATCTGGATGTGTCCCCTGCTCCCCTCCAGGCTAAAAACGCCAACCTCGTCGCACGAGATGGTCAGGTTGATCTGCCCCCACTCCCTCTCCGGTATCCCCGCCCACGAGACCAACACCCCCTTGTCGTTGAGCGCGCGGGCGGAATACTTGTACGACCCAAACTTGGGCACCCGGCCGGACCGCTCCAGCTCCCGTTGGTGGTTGTACTGTTTTGTGAAGGGGAGGAGGAAGCGTTTTTTCCTGTTGCGAACAAAGTTAGCTTGTGTGTCAACACCGAGTAGAAAGGAGGAAAAACATACCCTTTCTTGTTCTGCAGCGTAGCCATGGCTTGCTCAATGTAGTCGTCGTATGACTTCCTCTGCTGCTCCAAATACCTCGCCTTCTCGTGCAAGTTACTCAACGTCATCCTCACCCCCTCCAGCTCCCTCTGCCTCTGCACCCTCCTCCTGCTCTTCGTCCTGATGTCCAGGGCAATCGCATTCAGAATATCCTGATAGTAATTATGCCTCGATATCCTCCCAATCTGCTCCAGCCTCATCACGTTCTCCAGCGCCATCCTCTTCAGCTCGTAATAGCTCATGCGCGTAACATCAACCATGTTCGCATCCGAGTACGCGCCCTTGGTGTTGCTCCCGTTGGAAAAGTCATCCCTCAGCAGCATCTGCCACTTGTGCTCGTCGTCCTGCGTGATGGGCTTCACCAAGATCTCCATGAGGTTGGTGCCAGTTTGAACGCGAATGATGTACAAGATGCACCTCTTGGTCTCCATAAACAGCGCCTTGACTTCCGCGTCAGGGTCCGCCACATCGTGCAGCTTGGGCGTCAGAAACATTTGAATGTCGGTCGACCCGGCAGCCGTCATCTCGCTCTCGTTGTGCTTGGCGCTTCCCAGATCTTGCATGATCTCCCGAAGCATATCATCCCTGTTCGGGCAGAGATGAATCAGCTCCGACGCGATCAAGTTGTGAATCGCAAAGATATCCGCCATCTTGATGTACAACGTCGGCTTGTTCTTCGCGTAAAGATCGTTGTACTCATCAATATCAAACGTCCTCTCCGCATCCGGCACCGCAATCAACGCCTCCGTCAACCCCGTCAACCGCTCAATGCTCTCCGCAATGAACGCATTCAACGGCTGGAGATAGACGTTATCCCCACCAAACTGCCTCCCCGAAGCCATCTGGCTGAGCACCTTGGCCACCTCGCCCAGATTCCTCTTCTGGAGCGGGCTAAGCTGCTTCTCAACCACACCGACATTCTCCGGCGCCGTCAGCGCAGGTTGCAGATAGAACTTCCACAGCCAGTTCATCACCACGTTCAACAACCTGACCGGGTCCTCCCTCTGAAACCTCTGCCTCAACGCCTCGAAGATCTGCTTGCAGACAAACCGGAGCCCATACGGCATCCTCGGCAGCAGATCCTCCAGCGCGAACAAAAACTGATCGCAAATCTCCCTCAAGTCGCGCAGGTGATCAATAAAGACTTGTTTGGTCTCCGGATCCTTGATCGCAAGCTCTCGGGGAATGTCCAAAGGGCGACTGCTCGGCCGACCAGTCCTCAGCTCTTCGTTGTTGATGGCAGACCGGTAAATCTGCATAGGATCGCTCTCCAGATCCAGCTCCGGGTCCTCGATGATATTGTCGCGGATCAAAGGACCAAGCAGATCCCGCAGGTACTTCCTGTCCCGCGGCGATCTGGTGTAGTTCTGCAGCAGCTTCGACCAGAAAAAGTTGCCCCTGAGATAATCCTGCAAACTATTGCAAGCATCCACCTCCTCCCCAATCGCCCTCCCAATAAGCTTCAGGAGATAATACTCCTCCCTCCTCTTCTGCGCATACCCAAACAGGCTCATCATCAGCAACTCAATCCTCTTGCACTCCTTCTCCGCCGTCCCCACCTCCCTCAGCCGCTTAAACAGCCTAGCCAGATACTGCGGCTGCGTCTGCAGCGCAAAAAACAGCTGCTGATACGACTCCAGCTTCTTCCTCGACCCCTTGTTCAGTGCCTTCAAATCAAACTGGTTGGCGCTCGACATGGAGCTATTCGCCAGCAGCGTCCCCGTATGGCCGCCATAGTTATGCTGATGCTTGACAACCTCATCCAGCGTGATCTTGTTCTTGACCAGCAGCGCAATCTTGATATCGAGCTGGTCAATGTACTGCTCCAGCATCTCATTCTGGCGAACCTGCTGCACCACCGTCTTGCGCAGCCTTTCAAACTCCACCTCCTCGTTGAAGTCAAAGTCGCTGTCGTTCAACAGGTGGACAAAGTTCTTGACCGCATTGACCGGTGGGTTCTTCCCGCCGGTAAGACTCTTGTAGGCGTCGCCCTGCAGCTTGGCGCGGACCAAGCTCTGGATCTTTACCACCTTTTGCATGTTCTCGTTGAAGAACTTTTTCTTCTCTTCAAACTTGGCCCTGACGATGAACGCCTTTGCCGCAGCCTGGACTTCGGCAACGACGGCTTCATTCTCATCCAGTTCGTCAAGAACTTCAGCAACGCTGCCGCGGAGAAGCATAGCCCTGGCAAGACCCTGCAGCGAGGCAATCTCCATCTCGTTCGTCTCGAGCTGGTCGAGAATCTCGCCTTGCTTCTGTCTGCAGAGCATCCCGCGCACCTGAGCCTGAAGCAGAGTAATCGACTCCTCCTGTTCAGCGAGCGCGTCGAGGAGGCCCGCAACGCGATTGCGCTCCAGCATGCCTCTGATCTGAGACTGCAAAGAGATGATATTCTCCTCCTCCTCACCCAGGGCCTCAAGCTGTTCCGAGATCTCCCTCCGCACGGCACCAGCCCTAACATACGCCTGAAGCAAGCCCAGGCTTGGCTCCTGTTCCTTAAGCTCAGCCTCAATCCCCTTCACAGTGCTCCTAGCGACCTTGCCCCGGGTGGCAGCCTGCAGTGTCGTGAAAACCGGCTCAAAACTCTCCAGCGCCTCAAGCTGATCGGCAACACGGCTCCTTTCCAGCGCCGCCCTCGCAGCAGCTTGGATCCCAGTAATAGCCGGCATCGCCTCCTCCAGCGCAATCAGATCCCTCTCCACCTCCCTCCTAAGCAACATGCCCCTAACAGCAGCCTGCAACTTCTCCACCGGCGCCTCGCTCTGCCTCACCTCCCTCTGCTGCACCTCCATCTTCTTTCTCGCCAAAAACCCCCTCACCGTCGCCTGGATATCCCTAACCGGCCCCTCCTCCACATCCAACTGCCCAAGCTGCTCCTGTATCCTCCTCCTCTCCAAAAACCCCCTAAACGTCGCCTGAATATCCCTCACCACACCACCCGCCATATCCAACTCGTCCAACTTCTCCCTCACCTCCCTCCTCGCCCTCACCGCCCTAAAAGCACTCTGCAGCTTCACCACCGCCGGCTCCGCCCTCTTGACCTCCCGTTCCCTCATCTCCCTCCCATTCCTAACCAACCACCCCCTAGCAGCAGCCTGCAGTTGCCTAACCACCCGCTCCCGCTCCAACTTCCACTCCACCACCTCTCTCATCATCCCCCCCCTAACCCTACTCTGCAAATCAACCAACCACTCCTCCTCCTCCCACAACCTCTCCATCATCTCCCCCAACCTCATCCTCGCCACCGCCCCCCTAACCTGCGCCTGCAACTCCCTCACACTCTCCTCCGCCTCCCCCAAACTCCCTCTCCACCCTTTCCTCCTCCGTCTCCTCCTCCACCATCTCCTCCACCACCCCAAAATCAGCCCCCATATTCCCAAAACTAGGCATCGCCCCCCCCAGCTTATCCAACCCCCTCTGCATCTTCTCCAGCTCGCTATCCTCAAACTCCAACTGCCCAACCAAATTCCCAATCCTGAACCCCACCACCCCCTTCCGAAACAACAACCAGCTCAGCGCATGGATGCAGTGAATCACCTTGGGAATGTTCTTCTTCTCGTACAGGTCAATCAACTCAAACCTAAACAAGTCCGGCAGCTCAATCTCATCCAGATACCGAAAAAAAATCGCAATATTGTCGCTGTGCCGGTACTGCAACTTCGGGTTCCGAAAAATCTTGAACCTCCTCTCCGGGTTCAACGCCTCCACCACTTCCGCCAGAGTAACTCCATCCCGCAGGGCTTCCTCCAATTCCACAATCGGCGGGATCGCCCGCTGGATGATATCCTCGATCCACTCTTTTGCTTCGCCAATGTGGCAGAGGTATTCGTACGCTTGCAGAAACTGCCTCTGCCTGTCCATCCAGTTTCTGTTTTCCCAGCCAGACTTGGCCGCGGGCCGGTTTGATTTCAAACGGCGACGACCTCTCAACCCGACAACCTCTTGCGTGGCAGAAGTGATGGTACTGAAATCGTCCGATTTGGCCAGCTTGGACAATGTTCGTAGTTCACTGGTCGAGGATCGCCCCAAACTTTCCAGATCCGGCCTAAGAATCGGTGCTACTGTGTGGGCGCTCAGCAGAGGGGGGGGCATGATGCCGACGTCGCTAGGTCGACGGGGTGCCATGACGGTGTCGGATCGAGTCAGAAGCATCGAAGTAGGACGGACGACCGAGGGCCGGTGGTTGCCATGACCTGGGGGTGTTGGTGGGTTTGCCGCGGCCGGCGAGGTTGCTGGTACGAGGGAGCCGCGGCGGGGTGGTGTTGGAGGTTGTGGTGAGGTTGGCGGGGTTCGTTCACGAGGTGACGATAGCGACAGGCTGGCCATATCTAACCTGCCGACGTCGACGCTGCGGCCTCGGGAGTGGTGGCTGGGGATGGCATCAACATTCTGACCCAGATCATAGCGACTGTTACCGATGTCTACACTATAGCCTCGGTCACGGTGGCTGGGAGCGCGGGGTGGTGGTGTTAATGTCGTCGAAGAAGAAGTACCTGGTGGCACCTGGGGGAGTGGTCGGAGCGATTGACGAGCAGCCGAATAGATATTATCCGGTGTTGGTGTGGTGGGCGTAGAGGAATAACTATGAGAAGAACGAAGACTTGGAACCAAGTGGCTGGCCTCGCTTTGCCCTCTCTTGTGGCCGTATCCCGGGTTCGTGGTCGAGTAAACACTGGACGCGGCGGACATGGCGCTGGGGGCTCGACTTAGATTCAGATCGAAAGAAGCAGAAGACACATGGGAATAGCCCGACGAGGCAGATGAGGATGCTGTCGAGGGCTGGCGGTAAATATCGGAAGAGCGATAGTCGGCTGTGTGCGACTGGCGCAACGGGTGCGGCCTGTGCGACGACGACGACGGCATTGTATGTGTGCTACTACCGTTGCTGTTGTTGTTTTGGCTCAAATTTCGGGTTGCACGGGATGGCAGTCGTCGACAACATTAGATCGCTGAATAGAACAGCTTCCTCTCCCTTGCTCAGAGTGCCAAGCAATGACGATGGGGGATCCTCTTTGGAGGGGTTGGGGTGAGGGGAGGGTTGGTTATGTGCCGGGTCGGTCGGTGTCTGATGGATGTCGATAATGTCTAGCGCCGAGCGAGCGCAAACACGTCCTGCTCTGCTCTGTCTATCCTTAAACAAACAGTACACGAAGTAAAAGGCAGAAAGAATCCTTGCCAATGCCAACGCCGGCGCACAGCGCAAAAAAAGTTCGGATGATGAATTGGTGGTTTAAAGAAGGGTCATTCTATACCAGTCGAGACTCGAGAGCCGCATGGAGAGCATGGAGGGGATGGATGATATTATCGAAGGTGTGGGAGGCCAATGACCAGGGGTGTCGGCCAGGTTTAGTGGTTGCGGCCTGAGAGGGGAACTGCCTTGTTTACATTTACCGGAGGGCGCCAGGGCAACGGGCTGACGGGACTTCATGTGTGTGGCTCGGTCCTACAAAATCCCGTTCCGCCCTGCGTCTACGGGTCCCCTGTGCCATGTAGATTAAGGGCATCTTGGGAACTGTGGTAGCACCAATTGTTTGGAAGCGAGACACGTGGTTGACCCGAAAAGTAAACAAGAAGGACTTAGAGATATCATGGAGCAATTGCTCTGTTATTTCAAGAGCTCTCATCTGAAGACGCATGACCGAGAATATGTGAGCTGCCCCGGAGCATCAATTTGAGTTGACGGAGTTCCAAGTCTAGCCAGGCCCGTGCGCCTAGAGCAGCACCGATGCTCCACCCCTGACACATTCACCGCCCGGCAATTGCCCCGCATCCCACCCACTCTAAAAATTTCTGGTGGCATAAAAAGATTTTCAGAGGCGACTCTGAGATTTTCTTTTCCTCTTCTCTTGGGGGGGAACAGTTGGCTGATTCTCAAAGGACCTGTCCTTTCTGTCTCCCCCCTCGCTCGCATCAACAATCTCTTGCTTCACAACCACCAGTCTATCCCACAGATCTCAGTCAACGCGCAGAAATGTCGTCCGACCAAGTTCTTGACTGGCGCAAGGCCGAGGAGGTGCTCAACGAGTACAAGAGTCGCGATGGCCTCAGTGTCCATGAGCTCATGGACGCCAAGGCCCATGGCGGTCTCACCTACAACGACTTCCTTGTTCTCCCCGGCTACATTGGCTTCCCTGCCTCTGCCGTCACTCTCGACTCCAAGATCACCAAGAAGATCACCCTGAAGACCCCTCTCGTGTCCTCGCCCATGGACACCGTCACCGAGCACGAGATGGCCATCCACATGGCCCTTCAGGGTGGTCTCGGTGTCATCCACCACAACTGCTCTCCCCAGGCCCAGGCCGACTTTGTCCGCAAGGTCAAGCGCTATGAGAACGGTTTTATCCTCGACCCCGTTGTCATCAGCCGTGAGACCACCGTCGGCGAGGCCAAGGCCCTCAAGGAGAAGTGGGGATTTGGTGGTTTTCCCGTCACAGGTTAGTTTTCTTGCTCTCCCCAACTCTCTCTGCCACATGATTACAAACCTTACTTTCGTTCCACCAAATCGACCTATGTGTCATGAGGACTCAATATCACTGAAAATTATGATCGTGGCACCATTCTATCACTTTCTAAGCTCTGCAGCTCATCAAGGATTGCACGCTAACAAACTGTGATTACAGAGTCCGGCAAGCTCGGTTCCAAACTTTTGGGTATCGTCACCAACCGTGACATCCAGTTCGAAGATGACTTTGAGAAGCCCATCTCCGAGGTCATGGTGACCGATCTCATCACGGCCCACGACGGTGTTGACCTCCTCGAGGCCAACAAGATCCTTGCTGCTTCCAAGAAGGGCAAGCTCCCAATCGTTGATTCCGATGGAAACCTCGTTTCAATGATTTCCCGCTCCGATTTGACTAAGAACCTCCACTTCCCCCTCGCTTCCAAGGCTGCCGACTCCAAGCAGCTCATCTGCGCCGCCGCCATCGGTACCCGTCCCGAGGACAAGGCCCGTCTTGCCGGCCTTGTTGAGGCTGGCCTCGACATTGTCATCCTGGACTCGTCTCAGGGTAACTCGATGTACCAGATCGAGATGATCAAGTGGATCAAGAACGAGTACCCTGACCTCGAGGTCATTGGTGGCAACGTTGTCACCCGTGAGCAGGCTGCTGCTCTCATCGCCGCCGGTGTCGACGGTCTCCGTATTGGTATGGGCTCCGGCTCTGCCTGCATCACCCAGGAGGTCATGGCCGTCGGTCGTCCCCAGGCTACCTCCGTCTACAATGTTGCTGCTTTCGCCGCCAGATTCGGTGTTCCCTGCATTGCCGACGGTGGTGTCCAGAATGTTGGCCATATTGTCAAGGGCATTGCCCTTGGTGCCTCCACCGTCATGATGGGCGGTCTCCTTGCTGGTACCACCGAGTCTCCCGGTACTTCCTTCGTCTCCCGCGAGGGTAAGCTCGTCAAGGCCTACCGCGGCATGGGTTCCATCGACGCCATGCAGGACAAGAAGGCTGGTGGTGGTGGCAAGGACAGCCAGAAGAGCAATGCTGGCACTGCCCGCTACTTCTCCGAGGGCGACTCCGTCCTTGTTGCTCAGGGTGTCTCTGGTGCCGTTGCCCACCGTGGCTCCGTCAGCAAGTTCGTCCCCTACCTCGCTGCCGGTCTCAAGCACTCCCTCCAGGACATGGGCATGACCAGCGTCGAGGAGCTCCACAAGCAGGTCGAGGCCGGCATTGTCCGCTTCGAGATTCGCACCCCCAGCGCTCAGCTCGAGGGCGGTGTGAACATGGAGTCCTATGAGAAGAAGCTCTATGCTTAAATGACAAAATCTTTTATGGAGAAATGATGATACCAGGCGGACAAGAAATTGGGAATGGGACAGGAGGGCAGTGTTGGTTGGGATTCAAAACGGCGTTTACGTGGGAAAGGGAAAAAAAATGGGTGCATTGATCACGGACACGATTCCTCTCGTAATATTGAGGATCGGTCGAGTGGAGAGCGGGAGTGTGGTTGCTCCTTTTTTTCTATCCATTATTTTAGCGTTCTTTGCTCTCCGGATAGTATATAGAGTCTAGCACCGATTTGATTTCAAATAGATCGATATTGAGTGTCCACTTTTGACTTTTGTCTCAATGTGAATTCTCGATCTCAGATGAATATGTTGAGATTTAAGTGTCAGCTTTTTTCTTTTTCCATTGTGATGTCTATATCGTCATTTGACTGCTTCCCGGGCCCGATGTTCATCTGATCCTTCCGCCAAATCATAACTTTTTTTGTCCATCTCATTGTGGTGTCATTATCCCAATTTGGCTCATCATCTATTCTGTTCCGCTTTTTTGCCTCTATCTCATCTATGATTCTTTTTCTCTGTCTACTTCTCCAACGCGCTCGCAGGCAACGTGGCAACCTTTTCGTCAAACAGCTTCTTGGCCCTAGCCCACACAGGCGAGTTTTGCCAGTCGTTGAGGGTGAGCAGCGAGGGCAAGAGGTCATCTATTTTTGTTTTGTCAGCATCACCCATGTGGTGTTAAGGAGGGTGGGGGGGGAACTTGCGGCTAAAAGCCTCAGACGCCTCCCTTGGCAAAAGAGAAGGGAGGTGGTCAATAGAAATCACCGAAAGCGCAGGTCCAGAAGAGAGGCCCTCGACGGGAACGGTGGGCTTGTCGAATGTAGTCGCGACGGTGTAGATCGGCACTGGGGTAAAGGGGGAGGTGGTGTCGGCTGAGACGTCGCAGACGACGGAGAGTTTTCTGTCGGGGACCTGGAGGGAGTCGAGGTTGACAAAGTTTGGGATTTTGGAGGTGAGGTAGATGCAGTTTACGAATATGTCGGAGTCGGTGATTTCCTCTAAGGGGGTGTTAGTATGATATTTCGGAGGGAATAGGGAGAAATGGTGCCGGTTTCTTGAGATATATCAGGGGGTAAAGCTTCAGGGGTAACGTACTGAAAGGACCACCCTTGGCGGTTTCGGCCATATCCCACTTGAGGATGTTCTCCTCTGGGACACCAGCCTTGCGGAGGGCGTCAACAGCGCCGGAACCGCACCTACCCAAGGCGCCGATAACGATGACGCGGGGGGAACGGCCGGCGGCGGCGGTGCCGGTGGCGAGGGCCTTCTTGACGTTGGTGATCAGGGCGTCTTCGTTGGGGTAGGAGGCTACGCCGGGGAAGGGAGAGGAGGGGGGGTGGGTGAGTTGGTGGGCCCAGACTTCGAGGGCGAGCGCGGCGCCGGCGAATCCGGCGTGGAAGCCAAAGGCTGCTACGCGGCGGCCGCGTTCGTCGACGAGGAATTCGAGGTCGAGGAGGGTGCCGCCTCCTCGGGGGAACCTGGCGAGGACGTTTTCCCAGCCGGCTTGGTGCTTGTAGCAGTGGGCGAATTGGACGTGGACGTGCTTGAGGGGGACTAGGGGAGGGGGAGGGGGGGAGGTGTTAGATATCTGGGATGTTATGAGATTGGATTTGTGTTATGAAAGCACTTACACTCCTTCTCCTCGAGCTCCTTGAGACCAACAATGATGTGCTCCTTGGGGACCTCCTCCCAGCTGCCCTCGGGAACGAGGGTGGCGCCGACGGCCTCGAACTCGCTGTCGTCAAAGATTCTCTCTGGGGAACGCTCGACGTTGACGACGTAGCCGGCCTTGATGAGGGCGGCGGTGGTTGTGGGGGTGAGGGCAGATCTGTGCTCGAGGGGCTTGGTCTCACTGCGGAGGTGAAGCACCGTGGGAGCCATCGTGAATGTGGTATGAGTGTAAGTGTAAGTGGAGGGGTATCTCAAAGTCAAGGTCTTGAAGAGGAAAGGCGTGAAGCAACAGAAGTTCAAAAAAAAAAGTATGCAGTAAGACAGAGCACAGCACAACACAGAGTCTGTAGTATCTCTCAATTTATGTATCAATTCGGGGGGGGCGTCTCTGCTTGAGTCACCGACTGGAGATGTGGAATGGGGTCCCCTCTTCTGGTGTACGCCGACTGCGGTGAGTGAAAAAACGAAAAACCTTGCTCTTGGGGGGACACCTGCAGGTACGACACCAGCAACCCCGCGGTTGCTAATTGGCTGGCTTGGGGCCTGAAGTGGCCTGAAGTATCAGTGTTTCGCCATTGCACGGGATCTCCCATGCTGTCCTGTTTGCCGGGAGACTCCACTAGTGACGACGGATTACGGAATCCACATGGGCAAGACTGGTTGCTTGATTTGATCATTTGAGGTTGGTTCTGTCTGTCTTTTCATATTCGCTACAAATGTTTTTGGAGGAATCCCTCGAATGATGATTTGTCCCTCCTTTGGACTGATAACTGATAACAAGCAGATAAGGACGCGCCTAACCCCCATCGGGTATCAACCCAGGACTCGGCCCGCAGCGGGAATACTTGATCCTTCTTTGTCCCCGAAAACGCCAGTCACGTGCAGGCGGTAGCATTCACAGCCCTCTTTCTTTGGCAATAGGCAGCGCAATATGGCCCCATTGCAGCCGAGCGTGCACGGCAGACGGCAGATTGGGGTTAAAGGGCTGGAAGGCGAAATAAAAGACTTCCCGGAGTAAGGTCCGACTATGATTAGCTAGCTAAAACAGTGCCGCCCATGGGAAAGGGTGTGGAGTGGCACCAGACGACCCGAGATGGGAGCATTGGGAACAATGACCCCAGCCCACCACGCCCACGCCGACCCATTGATCCTCGATACCACCACCGCCCCAGGCTGACACCAAAAAACCTGTTCTGGCCGCCATCATGTCGAGCTCCAGATCGACTTCGCCATTTGACAAGCTGTCGTACGGCACCAGCACCAGCTCGCTACGCCGACTGCTCCCTGCATCGAACGATGAAGCAGCGAGTGAGGCTTCGGTGAATCTCGAAACCAGCCCGACCCCGGGGTCCTCGGCCGCGGGGACTGGGCAGGCTGCTCCGCGGAGAAGGAGGCAAGCTACCACGGCTGCGTGTCGGGCCTGTCGAAAGAGAAAGTCAAAGGTGTGAAGGCTCAGTAGCCATCTTTCATATAACATTGTTGAACCATGGCTGATATGTCTTGTTGTCTTGCAGTGTGATGGTGCACGCCCAACATGTTCAGTATGTCGTGACCGGAAAACAAAGTGCGAGTTTGATACGATTGCCGCGACCGAGACCCATACCCAAGCCCTGAAGCGCAAGTACACCGAGCTTCTGCAACAAAAGAGCACATTCGAACAGATCTATGAGGTCCTTCGGTCCAGACCGGAAAAGGAAGCCGAAGAAATCTTCCAGCGGATACGGAGGGGCGCAGAGGCCAGCTCCATACTAAGGCATGTCAACTATGGCGACGTGCTTGTGCAGATGGCCCTCGTGCCGGAAACGCGGTTTCGATACGAGTTTCCCTACCTGCCGGATATGCCCATCTACCTTCAAAGACACGACAACCCATACCTCGACTCGGAGGTCTTTGACTGTGCTTTGCGGGGGGCTGTCGAGCAACCGCAACCACAGCAGCAACGGGCCTTGCCTAGCGTGAACGACATGTTGGGTTCTCCCCGTGACGCCTTGGACCAGCGGGATCCATACCTGAAGCCGTATTCCTCTGCCATTGTGGTGGACCCGTGGCTGGACTCGCTCACGCCGTCAAACTGGACGTTGGTGAGCAGTGATGACAATTTCATGCGTCAGGTTATTCACGATTATTTTCTGTACGACTATGATTGGTTTACTTTTTTCCACAAGGACTACTTTCTGCAGGATATGGCGAGTGACCGACCACGGCACTGCTCAAGGTTATTGGTCAATGCCGTCCTGTGCATAGGATGTGTAAGTGCTTTGTGACCGCACGTCTTAGTCATTCTGTCCCACTAACAACCGCTCCAGTATTGTCATCGAAAACTGCCAGGTCGCTCCGAGTCATGGAACCCCCAAAACATCGGGAACCAGTTTCTCGCCGAGGCCAAGAGGCTCTTTGAGGTTGAAGCCGAGGTGCCAAGACCGTCTATGCTTGATCCAGAATGGCAGCAAAAGTATCACGACTGGGAGTGCCGCAGGCTAACCACCGTTCAGGCGGCGCTCCTGCTCAATGTCATCTACAACCTGAATGGCTCTGACAGGCTAGGATGGCGGTATACGATCCGGGCCGTGGAAATGGCACACGAAATACGGCTCTTCCAAGCGGTTCCGTCTCATGTCAGCAGCGACATTCGGTGCGCCAGGGAGTTCACAGCGTGGTGTCTGTTCACCTGGCAAAGTCTCAACTCCTATCATTACCTCAAGCCACCCTTGATGGCCCGGCCGCCGGAAACATCTTTGCCAGATCCGTCCGAGAACCCCCAGTGGTGGGGAGAGCTGTGGATACGATATCCCCAAACGCCAGCTCGTCTACCCACTCACCACGGCCACCTCGCCAAGGCCAGAGCAGACTTTTGGACCATCATGAACGATTTTTCGCTGTTAAGCTTCTCGCAACCTCACGTCAAGATGCCGCTTGATCAGGTTGTGGGGTTCTACAATCGACTCCGCGGATGGCTACGGAATCTACCTGAGCCATTGACACCCAAACGGCTTGTGCTACCGCATCACCTAAAGGTTCACATGCATTACAACTGCGTCCTGATCGACCTGCTGAAACCACTGCTCGGTCTGAACTGGAGCGACACCACCCAGCCAAACAAGACACTTGACGACGCGCACCACGAAGCGGCTATTCACCTCGAGACGTTGCTCCGGCTGTACTACCTCCGGCACGGCTTCGAGGCCTTTGACGGTTTTTTGCTGCACTTTCTCGGTAGTTTGAACTTTATCAAGATCAACACGAGGGAGGCGCAGGATAATTCCTTGTTTCTCGAGTCGCACCGCTCGACGATGCTGCTGCTTATGAAGGGGATTAGGGACCAGAGCCAGTGTCATACGGTGGCGAAGATGGTGCTACGGCTGCAGGCGCATCTGATGAGGTCGGATGATGTGGCTTTGCTGAAGAGGTTTGTGGATATTGAGACGGCTAGGTTGGCGTGTGGGCCGGAGAGTCCGAGGTTGGTGGAGGAGGAGGTGATTTTGAGTGACTGGCCGGCGTACGAGATTGGGTTGGAGGCGAAGGCGGAGCAGAAGAGTAGGGGGGTGGATTTTGCGAGTATGGTCAGTTCGGTGACGGCGGAGGGGGGGGGTGGTGGGTATGGGGAGAGTACGAGTGGGAGTAGGTCTTCTGCTTCTTCGGGGTAGGGGGGGATGGGATGGGATGGGATGGGATGGGAGGGTAAAATAATAAACGACAAGTCGACGGACGGAGGATTCCGCTGTGTATGTTTTTCGCTGGTGAAGGACGGATTTGGTTCCGCGGTGGAAGGGCACGAAGGGGTAATATATGTGTGTCTGAGAATATGAATGAGATTGTACACTTTCTAGAGATTTTGCTTGGATGATGAGATGGTGCTCTAGGAGTGGTTGCCTTGTGTGGGATGGGGTTGTTTATGCAGGACTTTTGGCTGCCAACGAGTGCGGAATGGTTCCGCAAGAGAGAGAGAGAGAGACGACATGTGCACAGACCATTACCTGATTAGGAAGTTTCCTTGCTGTGTAACAGGGGAAATGTTTGCTCATGCTCAAGTTCACGATGTGTGGATTGGGTGATGATGGGAGTTGATGGGGTAGTTGGATGTGCCTAGGATAGGATTCTTCTGTCTACATAAGAACAGGTTCACTCAGTAATGTCGCTACAGTTTACTCGTTCTCACTATCCTTTCTCAACCTTGTACTGAACACAGTCAATTTCCAAGCCCACAGCACCAACCATGGACGAGATCGAAGACGTCGTGAGTAAATCTTTCCCCTGATTGAAAATTCCTCACAGATTTGAATCTGACATCTCTCTCACCCAGTCCTACGCCTGCTCCGTAGCGAGCTTCGAGAACGTTGGACATCCCACACCAGGAACCAACCCCGCCGACGAAAAGGACAATGCTGTTGTTTACACCACCATCACAGTCAACGAACACGGCAAAATAACCTCCAGTTCGTCCCCCTTCCCCTTCCCTCCCCTTTCTTACTCAACCAACTAATGTACTTCCCAGCCCACAACGGCAAACCCCCTCCCCCTTCCCCCCCTCCTACCAACCACCTTGATCCCACCGCCCCCGTCGTGGAAATCCTCACCACAATCACCACCCCCTCCCCCCACAACAACCGCCAGCAAGCAATGATGATGAACCTCCACCGCCCGCCATCCTACCCCTACCGAACCCCCGACATGGAAGACGAAGACAACGACCTCCCCCCCCCGGACCTTATCCCCTCCATGATGGGCGACCTCCCTAACAATGCTTTTGGTTTTGGTAAGAAGAAAGAAATGGTAATCCACTCCCCTTACCTCCGGTCTGCGCTTTCGGCTGTGGTGCAATACTACCCCGGTTTTGAGGTCATCCAACGGGGGACCGTGCTGAGGATAGCGGAGCCTTACCAGGTGCTTGTGCATCACTGGGGTGAGTTGGAGGAATATAAAACATCTCAGCCGGACTGCCATGACGGGAGGTATGCAGCCACTACGGCGGCACATATTGATGTCCTCCTCACCTTCCTCGCCGATCTCTACGGCCCCGGCTTAAATGACGAGAAAAAACGCTGGGCAAAAGGCCGGACGACATACAGCCGCTTCTGGTGCCTCCTCAAGCCGGGGAGTGTGGTGTACCGCGAGAAGGATGGGGAGTGGACGGGGTGTGTGGTTTCTGGGATTAACTTTCTACGAGCGGCTGGTTCGGTGGAAGGGGTGGGGAGTGATGGGATGTTGGTTTACATGTGGGGGATTGCCTACAAGAAGGGGCTGATGAGACGGGAGATGATACAGAGGATTAATTTGGCCTTGGGGTGGGGAGAGGGATATCACTTCCTTACCTGTGGTGCCTGAAGAGATGGGTGAAGGAGTGGGAGTGAGGGGACAGAGGGTCGAGAATGGGGAGACGAGTATTGGGGGTTGGCTGGGGGGGTTAATTATAAAGAGTACGAAGGGTACTTGGGAGGGGGGAGGACGAGGGGGATGGTGAGTTTTCTTAATGGTTTGGGGAAAGAATTTGGGGGGGGGGGCTGACTTGAACGTGATAGATCAAGGGGAAGGTTATTGTCGATCCGGAGGGGTACGAGCGGTTTGCTGAGCAGTCGCCTCATCACCGCATTGCGACGCCCAAGTTTGCCCCTCGCTGGGATCAGCAGCACACCCCGGCGAGACAGGACAGGTTACCGCAGATGTTGTCACGGTGCAGCTGTGCTGTTTGCAGCAGTAGCCAAGGGAAGCAAGAGCCTAGTCCCTGGGCAGGGTTTGACGACCTCGACCCGAGATCCTCACCCCTGCCCCGACGCGAGGAGATATATTTCATGGTCATTGGGCCTTTGATCCCAGCTTTTATCCTCAAAGAACGCCGCTGGGGTAAGTTCCCCCTTTACCCCTTCTTCCCTCATAACTAACCTCCCACCCCCTCCCCCCAAGCGCACATCCGAACCTCCTCCCTGCACCCCATAACCCCCTCCCCCACCCCCTTCAACCACCTCGTCCTCGACCCATCGACAAAACAAACCCTCAAAGCCGTGATAACCCCCTTCTCCTCCCCCCTCTCTTCCCCTTCCCAAATCTACCCCTGGCCAAGTGACATAATCCCCGACAAAGGCCTCGGTAGGATCTTCCTCCTCCACGGCCCCCCAGGCGTGGGGAAAACCCTTACAGCAGAAGTCTCCTCCCTCCTCACCCGCCGCCCATTACTCCCCCTCACCCCCGCCGACCTCCCCCCTTCCCCTTCGGAAATCGAAACCTCGTTGTCATACTACCTCACCCTGTCGGAACGCTTCGGCGCCCTAGTCCTTATCGACGAGGCAGACGTCTACCTTGAGCGTCGCCAATCCAAAGATCTCCGTCGTAACAGTCTTGTGTCGGTATTCCTGCGGGCGCTGGAGTATTACAAGGGGGTGATGATGCTCACGACGAACAGAGTGGAGATGTTTGATGATGCTTTTACCAGTCGGATTCACGTCGCGTTGCACTATAAAGAACTGGATGAGGAGCAGAGGGGGCGGGTTTGGGAGGTGGGGTTTGATAGGCTGGAACGGGAGAGTAATGGGCGGGTGGTGGTTCACACAGCGGCGAGGGAGTGGGTTAAGGGGAAAGAGATGAGGGAGTTGGGGTGGAACGGACGGGAGATCAGGAACGGGCTTCAGACTGCTGTTGCGCTGGCGGAGTTTGAGGCAAACGAAAAGGGGGTGGTGGGACGGGTGGTGGTGAAAGAGGGGCATTTGAAAACGGTGGGGGGGTTGAGCAGGGGTTTTAGGGAGTATATGAGGGAGAGGAAGGGAGGGTTGGAAGAGTAGGTTAGTCTTTTTTTATTTTATTTTTCTATTATTATTTTTTGTTTCTTATTTTATTATATATATATATATATATATATTTACTTGGTGGTGATGGTATTGTGGTAGAAGAAGATTGCTGATTTTTTTTGCAGCAGAGAAGACGAAGACGAAGACGAAGGCGAAGATGAAGAGGAAGAGGAAGAGGAAGAGAAAGAGGGCAATCCCATCCAAAAACTACCAATCGACCACCCCCTCCGACAGCCCGAGTACCAGTTCCAACTCTACCTTTTAGAACAGCAATCCGTCAGGACACAGTGGCGGATAAAGTTGGACAAGTCAAAAAACTCTCCCGCGATGCTCAACGGGAGGGTGTATGACGACTGGGAAGAGGAGTATCACCATCGTTAGCCCTCAGACCTGAGAGACAGGCTTCACTACCATCTTTGCCCTCTTCCAAATGTCTCACAGATCATCAGTACTATCCAAGTAGCTCTAAAACATCCCTTGCTCTACTTGCGCCGATTCATCTCTATAAGATAGCGCTTTCCCTTGCTGTTGATCTCATTAGTCCGTTTCTCTCGCTCCTGGTTCAAAACCATGCCCGCAAATGACTAGTATATATATTTCCCTTGCCGACTCCCAACTCCTTGCTAAATAACCCATCCACAAAAGAAAAAGCCGACCCCAGTCCCAATCCCAATCCCAAAATAATCTAGTACCCCTACGCCTACCCAGCCTCCCCTCACACACAAAAAAAACCCTCATCCACCCCCCGCCCCCCTCCCGTTACTCATCGAATTCACATTACTCGCATGCGCCAACAAAAACTTGCAGCACGTCAACGTCAACTTGCAAGCCTTTGTCCACCCATCATCTTGCGCAATCCCCAGCTTGATGCTCACATCCATAATCTTGTCCCCCTCGATCCTGTACGGCAGCGCGAGCGGCGTCCCCTCCCTCGCCGTCTGCTTCTGCACAAAGTCGCCCAGCTGCCTCACCAGCTCCAGAAACGCCACCATCGCCTGGTCAAACTTCCTATGCATGATTGTGATGCCAAAGGGCATGTCCCCGCTAGAGAACAGCTCCAAAACATGACGCTTCGGCGCGGGTGGAGGGGCGCTCCTGGCCGAGCCGTACCGGCTCGAGGAGGGGGATTGGTATTCCAACTTGATGATTCGGGAGCAAGACCCCATGGGCTGGGGCTCGTAGCCGTCAAAGTGGTAGTTGAGCTTCTCGGCGACTGTCACGATGAGCAAAAGGGCGTGGCCCCAGGCGGCGTTGATCTCGGGCCAGTCGACCGGGCGGGCGTGCAAGCGGCCTAGGCGGAGGCCGTTGATGGTGGCAAAGGTTCCGTCGTGGCTGATGCAGAATGTGTCGTTGTATACGTTGCTGCGTTGGAGCTTCTCGAGCTGGCGGGAATCGTGGTCAAAGGTGCTGTTAATGCTGTCGCGTTCATCTTGAAAATGGGCTAGTCGAGAGGCGAAGGCGTTGCGTTCCCTCCAAAAGACGTCTTCTTGGGCGTCGACCTTCTCGGCCTCTTCTTCGAGTGCAAGGAGCTCGAGATCTAGTTTGGCCCTTTCCTCCTCTAGCTGCTCGATTTCTCTGCGGCGCTCGGCCACGGCTTGGTTGGCCCTCCGGAGGGCTTCGTCCTGGGCTCGAATCTCGTCGTCTGTGGGTGCGCTGGCCTGTATCTCTTTGAGGCAAGCGACATACGCGTCCCGCTCACGGTTTGTCGCCTCGAGTCTTTTCTGTAATTCCTCCAATAAAAGCTCGGTGCACTCGACGCACACTGGGTGGTCTATATCGGATCGCGCTGACAGGATCTCGAACAGTTTGGCGATGCGCTCCATCTCATAAGACTTGTCGTCGTCTGGCGGCCCATCATTTCCTCCATTCGCCGGTTGCGCCGAGGAAGCATCTTGTTGCTGCGGTTGTTGGCTTCTGTGTGGTGTGATCTGAGACTCAGTCAGGAAGATGAATGACATGGAACTGTCGCTGGCTCGTGGGGGTCCTCCATGTCTCTTGAACATGGGTTGACCGGCCTGTCGAACAGCCTTCTCGTAGGTGGACTTGCGCGCCCTGTCCTGGGAGTGTAGAGTTCGCGATGCGGCTGGGGGTTTCTTGGGTGGTTGCTGTGAGTGTGTCGCCACGAGGAGATCATAGGCGGCCGGATTGAGGTCCTCCAGAGAGCCGTCGAGCTTCAGAGGGCCGCGGCATTTCTGGCAAAACATCTTGTGCCGGAGATCTAAAGAGTCTCGAGGTGTAGCTGATAGAGATTAAAAGGTAGATAAATAGATGATCTGGCGGGGAGGTAGGCACCAGTCGCTCTAGGTGGGCTGGACAGTGGACGTCACAGTTGAACAACACCCCTGTCCCCGGCACGCAAGCACCCCCGCCCGCATGCGACTCAGCGGCCGGCTGGCCGGGGGGTTAAGGGCGACCTCCCCAGGCTGTCATGTGCGTGCCAGCCACTGGCCCGTGCTTGCATGTCGTAGTCGCAGTCGTCGTCGCCGCAACCAACCCAGCCAACCTGGAACTTTGACTTTGACAAACATCAATCAACAAGTAAATACCAACGACTAGCCGGGGCGTTCAGGTCTCAGCCCACAACTGCCATCACCATGTCCAACCCCCTCGACACCGACGCCGGCACCGAGCTCTTCAAGCACTACGAATCAGAATACCTGCTCGTCCGCGCCGACCTGACCCAGAAACTCGACCAAATCAATGAGCTATCCGGCGAGCCCAGAAAGGCCGCCCTCAGCGCGGCAGAGCGGGCGCTGGAGGAAACCGACGAGCTAGTGGGCCAGATGCAGATGGAGAAGCAAAACGTCCCCTCGTCTCAGCGCACAGCAATCAACAGACGGATCCGCGACTACAAGAGCGATGTCGATGGATACAGGCGAAAGCTGCGGACTCTGGCCGAGGACAGGAGTGCGCTTTTTGGGGGACGGTACACGGACAATCCCGGTGGTGCTTCTGGGGATGCGCAGCTGGAGCAGAGGCAGCAGTTGTTGTCTGGTAGGTTTCTAGGAAGCCAAAGGAAGGGGAATCTGAAGCTGATTGATGATAAAGGAACCGATCGTTTGGACCGCAGCACTCAGCGCCTGAAGGCTAGTCAACAGCTGGCGAACGAGACCGAGTCCATCGGTGCCAACACTCTGGCCACGCTGCAGCAGCAGCGCGAGACGATCGAGCACACCACGCGCGTTATGTACGAGAGCGAGGGTTATGTCGATCGCAGTTTGAAGAGCATCAAGGGCATTGCCCGTAGGTATGACGTTTGCTGCGCACCCCTTTTGGGACTCACAAAATCACATACTTACTTGTTATCTGTCTAGGATGGCTACCAATCGGATAATCACCATCGCCATCATCACCGTCTTGGTTTTGCTCATCTTTGCTGTCATCTTTAGCAAGTTCAAATGATTGATGTGTGAATTGTTTGTTTTACAGGCTGGCGAAACGGTTAGAAGGAGTTATTTATTGGCTGTACTAGGGTTATGGATGGGTTAGCATGATTTGAGTTGCTTGTAAAACACGGTCTTTTTTCCTCCCTCTCTCTCACTGCTCTTATCTCGGCTTCTTTTGGCTGTGTGTGTTGTTGTGTAAATGTACATACTGCCACTTGCGTAATAAATGGAGCTTCTCTTATCAGTTGGTTAATGCGGGGTTATCGCCCACCCACCCACCACGACCATGATCCCGGCGCCGGAGGGGGGACTCATAAACAAACGGGGGGTGGTGGCATATCTTCTGATCATTCCTCCGAGTTTGTCCTGGGATTTTAGGAAAGTCAACTTATCAATTTCGTCCGGTTTGAACCTTTTTTCCTTGTCTGTGAGACGGGAGACACAAGGTTGGGCAAAGATGCTTCTTGTACCGAGAGAGGTTAGTCAGTCAGTCACACACACCATGCCCAGCCAGTCCCTCACACCCAACCCATTTGACATGCAGCCGTGGTGTTCATCCCATCTTCTTCTTCTCACCAACTGAAACTGACAAAAACGAAAGCTCGACAAGCTCACAATCTCCCACCTCGGCTTCCTCGCCCAGCGGCGTCTCGCCCGCGGCTTGAAGCTGAACCACTCTGAGGCTGTAGCGCTCATCTCGTCCAACATCCAGGAGCTGATCCGCGACGGGAACCATGTCGTCTCTGACCTCATGTCCCTCGGGTCGACGATGCTAGGTCGACGGCACGTCCTGCCGAGTGTGCTGTCGACGCTGCATGAGATACAGATCGAGGGGACGTTTCCTAGCGGTACTTACCTCGTCACGGTGCACAACCCCATCTCCTCTGATGATGGTAACCTCGACAGGGCGTTGTATGGGAGTTTTCTGCCTGTGCCGAGCAATGATGCGTTTCCGGCGCCACCGGCAGAGGAATATGCGCCTGAAGCCCAGCCCGGAGCGGTGGTTTGCGTCAAGGATGCCGTGGTGAGGCTGAATGAAGGGAGGAGGAGGATCAAGCTCCAGGTGACGAGCAAGGGGGATAGGCCGGTGCAGGTCGGGTCTCATTATCACTTTGTGGAAGTCAACCCCGAGTTGGAATTTGATCGGATTGCGGCGGTAGGGTACAGGTTGGATATCGCTGCCGGGACGTCTGTTCGGTTTGAGCCGGGGGACAAAAAGACTGTCACGCTGGTTGAGATTGGGGGGCATAAGGTTATTAGAGGGGGGAACAGAATCGCGAACGGGGTGGTGGAGGAGACGAGGAAGAATCCTGACGAGATTGTCAAACGGCTGTTGGATATGGGCTTTGCTCACACGCCGCAGAAGGATATTGTTGAGTTTATGGAGGGGTTTACGATGGATAGGCGGGCGTATAATACCATGTTTGGGCCGACAACCGGAGATCTTGTGAGGCTGGGGGCGACGGATCTGTGGATCAAGGTTGAGAGGGATTATACGGTTTATGGGGAGGAGTGTAAGTTTGGTGGTGGCAAGACGCTTCGTGAGGGGATGGGGCAGGCGACCGGGCGGTCGGATAGGGATACGCTTGATCTGGTGGTGACGAATGCATTGGTTGTGGACTGGACGGGGATTTACAAGGCGGACATTGGGGTTAAGGAGGGGTTTATTGTCGGGATTGGCAAGGCAGGGAATCCGGATGTGATGGATGGGGTGACGGAGGGGATGGTGGTGGGGAGCTGTACGGATGTTATTGCTGGTGAGGGCAAGATTATCACTGCGGGTGGGATTGATACGCATATTCACTTCATCTGCCCTCAACAGGCGGAGGAAGCTCTGGCCTCTGGAGTCACTACTTTCCTTGGTGGTGGTACAGGTCCCAGGTAAGCAGCCTTTCCCCCTCCCCCCCCCTTTTTCTTTTTCTTTTTTTTTTCGTTAACCCCCTATCCCACCACATCACTAACCCAGCCCCCTTTTCCAGCGCCGGCACCAACGCAACAACCTGCACCCCCGGCGCGCACTACATGAAACAAATGCTCCAGGCAACCGACTCCCTCCCCATCAACATCGGCATCACAGGCAAAGGCAACGACTCGGACCCCCTCGCAATCAGAGAACAAATCGCCGCCGGCGCCTGCGGCCTCAAACTCCACGAAGACTGGGGGACCACCCCGGCCGCCATCGACACTTGTCTTTCCGTCTGCGACGAAATGGACGTCCAGTGCATGATCCACACCGACACCCTCAACGAAGCCGGCTTCGTCGAAACCGCCGTCGCCGCCTTTGCCAACCGCACAATCCACACCTACCACACCGAAGGCGCCGGCGGGGGCCACGCCCCAGACATCATCTCTGTGGTCGAACACCCCAACGTGCTACCCTCCTCCACGAACCCAACCCGCCCCTTCACCCTCAACACCCTGGACGAACACCTCGACATGTTGATGGTCTGCCACCACCTAAGCAAAAACATCCCCGAAGACGTCGCGTTTGCCGAGTCCCGCATCAGAGCCGAGACCATCGCCGCAGAGGATGTCCTTCACGACCTCGGCGCGATCAGCATGATGTCCTCCGACTCCCAAGCCATGGGCCGTTGCGGGGAGGTCATTCTCAGAACGTGGAACACCGCCCACAAGAATAAACTCCAACGCGGCCCGTTGCCCGAAGATGCCCCCACCGGCTGCGACAATGTCAGGGTTAAACGATATGTGTCAAAGTATACCATCAACCCCGCCATCGCCCAAGGCTTCTCCCACCTGATCGGGAGCATCGAAGTCGGCAAACTAGCCGATTTTGTCGTCTGGGATCCGGCCTGGTTTGGGACGAAGCCGAGCTTGGTGGTGAAATCGGGCTTGATTGCGGTGGCCATGATGGGGGATCCGAATGCCAGCATACCGACCATTCAGCCGGTGGTTGCGAGGCAGATGTTTGCTAGGGATTTGCCCGGTGCGAGTGTGGTTTTTGTGAGCAAGGAGAGTGTTGAGAACGGGAATATAAAGAGTTATGGGCTGAGGAAGAGGGTGAGCGCGGTGAGGGGGTGTAGGGGGATTGGGAAGAGGGATATGAAGTGGAATGATAAGATGCCGAGGATGAGGGTTGATCCGGAGAGGTATGTGGTTGAGGCGGACGGGAAGAGGTGTGAGGCGGAGCCGAGTGAGAAACTGCCGTTGACGCAGGGGTATTTTGTTTATTAAGATCGGGGGTATAAGGGTTGGTTCTTTTTTTTCTTTTTTTTTTTGCTTGTGTGTGATATGGTAGTTAACGTAAGGCAAGCGGGATCTCTACACATTTGAATTTGAAACTATAGCTTGAGACTGGATGAGGGTGGTGAAAAATTGCTCTGTGAACATGACAAGAAGGAGCCTGTCAGTTTTGATGGCGCATAGGTCTTCAGCAAGGCCTCATGGTGCTTGGAAAAGGGGCTGGTCAGTTAGCAAAACTCGACCCCTATTCCTCGTTAAACAGTGTCGTTTAAAAACAGGGTATGTGCTGGGCCCTGAAATAGGGCTTTCGAGGTCCCGTTGTGGGGAGGGAGGAGTGCTCCAAGTCGGGGCGTTAGTTGGGACCCTCCCGCCTGTGCTTTGACCTCGACTTCGGACCCAACACTTCTGTAGGGTTCTGAAAGCGTATAAGTGGTAGCTTGAGAAAGCCAGAGCACTCACAATCAAGAAGCAGTTGTTCTACAAAGGCTGAGAGCTATCAGCAGAGAAGATGGTCCAATATATAGCCCCCATAATCCTCCTGGTGGCACTATGCTTGGAACACAAGGCTGGCGGCTCTCAAGATGATAGGTTCTAGAAACCATCCAGAAAAAACAACCCTTGATAAGAGATCCGAATAGTCAACAGAAACACCCACCCGGTGCAGACTTCATCACCTGGTCTCTATCACAACATGTCACACAACGTAACACAAGTGTACTTATTGAAGTTTCATTTCACAAAGCCCCCGAGCTCACTCGATGCCTACATGCAGAACGGCGACGCACTCACTGACCCAGGCCCCAAGACGACTACATACATCCGACAAGGCTCCATACAAAAGCCATTCCTGCGTCTTTTCCCCTTCCTCCGCTCCCACCTGAATAGCAAAGCAAAACGAGAACTGACCCGCCAATATTCCCCAGTTCATACCCATACAAATAATACAAAAACGCGCGACCGCCTGCTTCAACTGTTGCGGCAAAAAGCGATCAGAGATGGAGAAAAATATCATGCCCGCGTTGTTCAAAACCCAGCTGCCTTTGCTCCCAAAGCATAAAGAAAAGATGCCGCCCCAGTCAGTGCAAAGAGGCAACGCAAGAGAGGCGCCAGAGGTATCATCAAGATTGGAAACGAACCGACCCAAACCAGACCCAGAGTATAACGCGCAAAAGAGAGACAAGGAGACGAGCACAATCAGTTCTTGGTCTTCTTACGAGCAGACTTCTTGGGCTCCTCCACAATCTCGGCCGCCTTGGACGTTCTCTTCCTCTTCTTGGCCTCCGGGCTCGCCGGAGTGGCGGCGGGCTCTGGCTTGGGAGGCTCGGGGACAGCGGGAGTGGCAGCCGTGCTCTTCCGCTTGCGGGTCACGGCCTTCTTGTTGGGGGTTTTGGCTGGCGGCGCGGGCTCCTCCTCGGAGACCTCGGCGGGAGGGGACTCGACAGCGGCCGTCTGGTGAAGCTGCTCGGCGATGGCATCCTGCTCATCGGCGGGGAACTCCTCCACCTGGGCGAGGTTGGAAACGTCAATGTTGTAGAGCTCAGCATAGGCACGAGCCTCATCATCCGACATGTTCTTGGCGTCCATGTTGCCGGCCTTGTAGGAGTGGACGCGAGCCTGGTAGAGGCGGAGGTTGTACTTGTAAGCCGTGTTCCAGCCCGCCTTCTCACCAGGGGCCATGACAGCCCAGCGACGCTGGCCCTCTTCCTGGACAGCACCCTTGGGAGCTCCCTCACCAAGGTCGCTCGCAATGATGGGACGAGCAGTCTGCATGTAGAGGAAGTAGGGGGTCAGGGGACGCTTGGGGGCGTTGGGGTCATGAGTGCGCTTCTTGCGCTCCTTCTTCTCCTCAACGACGGGCATGGGGGCAGCAAGGGCAGCGGGCATCAGGCCGCCGAGAGCGCCGTTGAGATGGTCAAGAGTCTCCTGTCCATTCTCGAGGCTGGTACCCTCGCCAATGAGAAGGTTCGTCTGACGCAAATAATCGGCAGAAAAACTCCTAATCAAATCCTGGATAGTTTGCAGACGGTTGTACACCTTAGAGGACGGTCAGCAAGTGTGAAGGTGTATGGGTGGCCATAGCTTATCGGGGTTGCGGTTGCCAGAACCAAGCAGGTACAAGTAAACAAAAGGAGTGGGTGGGTTGTGCCTTGCACCTAGCCCAGCTCGAGGCAAGAGGTGGCGGGGGTGGGTGGAAGTGGAAGTGCAAAGCCAATGCTTACAGAGTCTCTGACGCGAATAAACTGCGCGACATCGATGACGGGAGGGCCACCGGGGATCTGGGCAACAGGGAGTTGTTGTTGCTGGATGGGGTTGATGATGGCTGGCGCGACTGGCGCAGGCGAGGGGGCGACCTCAGCGACCTTCTTGGGTGGGCGCGGCATGTTTGCGGCTTTTTGGGTTTTGGGGTCTGTTAAGAATGACTTTGTTGTTGTTGTTGTTGTTGTTGCTGTTGCTGTTGCTGTTGCTGTTGTAAGATAATAGCGGGATGGCGGCGCTGTTGCTGCGAATGCGACGGCGCGATGGTGGATTGCGCTGTGGTTTGGGGAGGGCAAAGCGCTGAGCGGAGGTGCTGGAAAATGAAGGGAGAGATCAAGAGGAAATTTTTGGGCGGGAGGTTGGGGGGAGTGGCGGGGTCCCCAAAATATACGCCGAGCCACTGGGGGAAGAGCCAGCGCTGATTTACCTGCTGAAAATTGGCGGGTCGTGAAAAAAATTGTGCGCTGCCTGGGGGTGGAAGGGGGGGCTGCCCGATTTTGGGCGAAATCAGTCACGGCACCAGGGCACCCCGCTCCGGG